CTGGTCTGTCTACGAAACTCTGGAATATGGATGCAGAAGTTAACATCAATCACCTAAGTGACAAACCTTTTATTTATATTAATTCTCTCTCTATATAAAGGAAAAACTATTTTAAAAAAATTTCTTGAATATTACTCACTTTTTACCAGATATTGAATTATGACCTCTTGTGTCCTCCACGTGTTTTGACTGACCTTTCAACCACGTGATGAAGAATTCATGAACGTTCTCAAATTTAAAAGCCTTGATAAACCAATGGCATCCTCACTTTTGTATATAACACGTGCAATAAAATAAATCCTACATTTCGCTTCCCTTAGAGGACAAAACGCATTGTCTTAGAATAGTTTTTCATCTTATTTTATTCCATTACAGATACACTCTATCTGAAAGCTATATATATATATATATATATATATTATTTACATTATTCGGACTATTGTCCTCATCTTTGTCACCATATTTATTACAACATTTTGGCCGTTGTACGCTCCGGCCTTCTTCAGGTGGTTGGAATGATGGCACAGTGGATAAAGGTGTTGGTTAGATCCAGTGACAGGACCCAAAGAGTGTGAGTTCAATACCCGGTTAAGGCAGTGGAGAACTTTCAGAGGGGAATTAACAGGAGATAACTGATAACTGACATTCATTAAACATGGCACGTGGAAGTAGAACAGTCTACCCCAGTGAGCGAAATAAAGGATTAAGTTTGACATTTCGACCACTTGAAGAAGGCCGGAACATACAACAGCCGAAATGTTGTAATAAATATGGTGACAAAGATGAATAATGTAAATAATGTACATAATAATTATCTCAGAAATATATATATATCATAAATATATATATATATATATATATATATATATATATAAGAAGATCACATGTAGATCAGATATGGATAGGAATCCGACAAGATGATAGAATGAAATAAAGATCAAAGTAGGAAATGAATCTTAATCTAACATGTTTCAATTTATTATGGCTTCATCAGAGATCGACATTAAAAATGAAAAAGCAAGGAGACAGAGTACTGGAATGTTATGATTTTTGGTAGTTCTCATTGGTCAGAGACGCGTCACGGGTATACATGCAATATAGATAATTTATAAATATTTGTGAGGAAGATTTTGGATGTTAAAGTGTGTGATTACTATCAGCTATAAGCACTCGCTTAAAAAAAATTACACCTTAACAGAATTTTTCTACAGATCCATTATTCACGAATCTAACTTAGGCCTAATATAATGAATGTTTTACAATTTTGCCTTTTTCAAAAATAAACCTAACTAAAACTAGATTATTCTTACAATATCTTACTTCGTTTCACCAACCTACCCAGAGTTGACGAGTTTAGACATTCTACACATACACGAGAATATAAAACTCCAACCAAATACAAAATTATTTTGGAACATTTCAACGACAAAATTCGAGGGTGACATCTGTAGACTTCCCTCACATACACGCTTATACACTTAAATGAATTAACGTTTTACTTACATACAGAAACGTTTCTTTACTTGCACACTTTTACACTATCACATATCCTAAATGTTACTCACACATATTTATATTCTGTTTATTATGTTGTTAGGAAAATCAATGACAATTAGAAAAAAATTGATTTTCCTAACATTGTTCTGGCATATAAAATTTATATATGATTTTTCTCCCATGAATTGGTATGTATATTCTTTTGTCTTCAATATAATATGCAATAAATAATTAGTTAAAGCATCATTATTTAACAAGCCTAACGTAGGTTTTCACCAATTATTTTCACTGATTAAAAATACAGAATATTTTGTATTGGTTTTAAAATCTGTAAAACATCCTTGAAATCTATTGGTTCTTTGGTTTATAATTGGATTCCCCTGAGGAAGATGACCAATCTAAGGGAGATAATCGCTGCTTTCCTCGCGTCAAATAATTTCTCACAATGAAAGGGAGAATATTTCTTTTCGCCTGATGTTTTTTTTTTTTGAAGACGAAAAATATTTTTCATACATTTTTTTTTTATCATTAAGTGTCTTGTAAAACGAGTGATTCAGAAAGATTTAGTTATGATGGCCGTCCAATTTAATTGCGTTGTTACTGGGAAATATTACGAACAATAAAAATGGCGTCGTTGTTATTATTTATTTATCATTTTTTAAAATTATTATCATCATCAATATTTTTTATTATTTTATTATGATTGATATTTATTATTATTATTATTAATAATAATATTTTATTATTACTATTATTTTATTATCATTATTACTACCAATAATAAAAATATTTTATCAATACTATTATTTTTTATTCTCATTATCATTATTAATAATAATATTTTATTATTACTATTATATTATTATTATTCTCATCAGTAGTAGCAGCTGCTGTGGGGATTCCATAGTATTTTTTCACAATGATTTATCCTGCACATCATTAAAAACTGAAAGGGTACAAATGAAAAAAAATAAAAATGGAAAAGGCCTTCCATTTCATTGAAGTCAACATTAAATGCATGAGTGCATTATCATCCCCTCTTTCTTTCTTTTTACTATGCATTCTTTTTCTCAATAAAATCAAACAGCATCTCTGATATAACTTTCTCTTTTGTCTTTCCTTGCAATCAAAACAGAATGGCTCTGTAGAGGACCATGTGTGTATTTACGTGTTGTATTAGAAACACGTATGTAACTCCTGGTAGAATATCAAAAGATTCAACTACATGAAAATTGGGAGACTTAATTTGTCCAACTGAAGATGAAAGAAGACAAATATATATATATCATCAAATATGTATTAAACAAATTACAAGGCACATAAACATAACATTGTGTGTGTTCTTTGGTGAATGTTATTTTGGTGAATGTTTGTAATGTTCATAGCGTTTTCCAGAAATGGGAAACACTGATCTTCTAAGAGCTTACATCTTGTCACTGAAATGAAGAAGAAAAAGAGATTTACCTCACTTCCACGTGAGGGGGAAAAAGAGATTGAGGCAAGAGTTCACCCAGTATTTATAGCATAGGGAGAGAGACCCCTGGTGAAGAATTAAGGAACTAAGGAGGAGGTAACTCCTACAGCTCTTTATATATAGGCAGTAATTACAGGACAAGACTTGTTTTTATGCCCTTTGTTTCTAACATATACACCATACATCAGAATGAGGCTGGCTGGAAATAAAGAAAAGGATTAGGGATTTCTTCAGTTCAATGAAACTATATGATGAATTTATAACCAGGATAGATACAAGTTATTACATTATGGATTAGGCAGCTCTATCCCAGATATTTTCTTTTTCTTGTAATCATTTTACCACAAGCAAAGCAATAAAGCCACTAAGATGCAAAAGGTTACTGAATGTTAAAGAATATGAGGATAAAAACACTAGTAAGGAGAGAAAACAATAAAAGAGCAGGAATTCAGAACACAGTAAGTAATGACTGACATTGCATTTAAAGATTAAAATTCACTGGAAAGTATGGAGCCAGAAGAGAGTTCCACAGGCAAAAAGTGCAAAAACAGAAACTGTTAGAACAGAATTCATGGTTACATCTAACGATTTCAACTGTAAAATGATGAGACCTTGTTGCCAATCTAGTACTGCGCTTAAATTCATAAAGTTTAGGTATTATAGTGGAAAGTTCAACAGAACAATTATCGGGAAAATATTCATAGAAAAGGCACAGGGCAACTACATTATGGTGGTAGACCAGAAGAGAAGTGTGAAAGAAGAAGCTGTTAGCATAGAATTTATGATTACATCGAGCCAATTCAACTGTAAAATGATGAAACCTTGCTGCCAATCTAGTACTGCGCTTAAAGTTATAAAGTCTAGGTACCATAGTGAGGAATTTATCAAAACAATTACTATGAAAGTATTTATAAAAAAGGCACAGCGAAGATACATTATGGCAGTGTGAAAGTGGCTGAAGGCAAAGTGCCCAGTCAGGACTAGTAATATTGAAAATTCTTCTTTGGGTTTTATCCAGAATCTCTAAATATATAGCAGGAGAATTAGACCATATATAGCAGTAATATTAAAAGTATGAATGAATGATATGCTTATAAATATGTAAGATAGATTCTGGAGAGAAAATTGTCAAGCATGACACAGTTTTTTAAAAATAAAATTGATTTTATGATACAGCATTTAATTGATGATGACAAAAGATAATGTTTTTTACGACCATTTTATGACAGAAATAAAATCAAAGGGTAGAAATCAATATTAAGACGTTTAAATAATGAAATGAGGGTTGTATGGAATTATCAAAAATTGGATTTTTGAAGAAATGAGAGAAAAAATTGCTAATTGAATTGTTTTTTTTTATGGCTTATCAACCCTTTGCATATTATTTGAAGCCAAAAAATATTTTTAGATTGTAAGAATATTTTTTTGAGATAATAATGGTTTAGTGATATAAATCATAAATATATTCATAAATATTCAAAATTAGATAAACCAAAGAAATTATAATATGGATATAAAGTGGGGGATCGATTCTATATTATAATCAATATATAAACTGATCCCTCACTTTGCAGGTTATTTGAAACCAGAAATATTTTTAGATTACAAGAATTTCTTTTTTGAGATATTAATAGTTTAGTGATATAAGTCTTATTAATTAACCCATAGGTGGGGGAAGAGAAAGAGGTGTGTTCATAAATAATCAAAATTAGATGAACAAAAGAAATTATAATATAGATATAAAGTGGGGGATCGATTCTATATTACAATCAATATATAAACTGATCCCTCACTTTGAAGTTTATTTGAAACCAGAAATATATTTAAATTGAAAGAATTTCTTTTTTGAGATAATAATGGTTTAGTGTTATATTAATTACTAATTAACCCAATGCTGGAGGGAGAGAAGAGATGGATTGATATCTTTCTCAAGGGTATCTGTGCTTAAATGAATAGAACAAACCCAACAGGAATTGGAACTTGGTTCTCCAATTTTCAATTAACCGTTACACTACCTGTACATCAAAAGCTTACAGCACTTGGTATTCCCAACTGGTAACCCATCTAGGTACAGACCAGGCTCAGTGCTGCTAAACCTTGGTGATCGGATGGGAATCAGCGTTTCTAGGTGATGTGGCCGTAAGCCCTTTAGAGGAAAGAGGAAAGCTTTTCGATTAGCAATCTCTTTATCTATACTATTTACATTATTCAGACTATTGTCCTCATCTTTGTCACCATATTTATTACAACATTTCAGCCGTTGTACACTCCGGCCTTCTTCAGGTGGTTGGTGGATTCCAATGTCATGCTTGACAATTTTCTCTCCAGAATCTATCCAACCACCTGAAGAAGGTCGGAGTGTACAACGGCTGAAATGTTGTAATAAATATGGTGACAAAGATGAGGACAATAGTCCGAATAATGTAAATAGTGTACATAATACCTCATCTCAGAAATATAGACAAATCTCTTTATCTATGTACTATTTCCTTTTTGATGTGTTTTTTTCTCCAAAATGTTGATTAGACAACGTTATCTGAAGATAATTTTCATATACAAATATGAAACTTTAAGAGATTCATTTTTATGATATTTTCATGTTATTGCAGGATAGTGTAATGGTTATTGGCTTGCTATGAGAAGTCGACAAGCCAAATTTAAATTCCAGCAGAATTTGTTGAATTCACTTCTGCACAAATAACTTTTTGAAACATGTGGATTAAATAGTAGGGCAGACTTGGATAACTAGATTGGGTTGACAGGAGAAGGACACATTTTGAATTCAAAACTGCAAATAGCTTTGTGTAGCAAATACCATACAGTCATTGACAAGGTCATATAATTCACAATAACTCTATAATCTTGATTGTGGTCAACCTACAACTGCACTAATGTATTATTATTATTTCCTTTGAGTTTACATTTCCTTCTGGGTCCCAACCAGAGACCTGAGGTCAGAAATAGATTCATGACATTTTCCACTGATCATTTTTATAAAAAAAAAAAAAAAAAAGCAAAAAAAACTAAGATCACACAACACATTTTATATTATTATTATCATTATTATTATTTCCTTTGATTTCTGTTGTATATACATTTCTTTCTGGGTCCCAACCAGAGACCTAAGGTTCAAAATGGCTTCATGACATTTTCCACTGTTCATTTTTATAAAAAAAAAAAAAAAAATAAACTAAGATCCCACAACACATTTTACATTATTATTATTATTATTATTTCCTTTGATTTCTGTTGTATATACATTTCTTTCCGGGTCCCAATCAGAGACCTAAGGTTCAAAATGGCTTCATGACATTTTTCACTGATCATTTTTATAAAAAAAAACTAAGATCACACACATTTTCTCTCAATAAAGATCTTTGTAATGTGTGAACTGTACTTGTGAGTATAATTTTTTGTCTTTCTTTAAGGTATCTCTTCAATGAGTCTATCGGAGCCTTTCCCAATTAATCCACGTGCTCCTACTACAACTGGAATTATTGATGTCCTCATGTGAGCCATTTATGAGATTTCCACTTCAAGATCCTTGTATTTTGATATTTTTTTGAAGACCTTGATAGATACATAACGATCTCCAAAGACTACCAGATCAATAAGAAAGCACATTCTGTTCTTGTGATTTTTTATCACGATATCGGGACAATTAGCTTTGATTGTTCTGTCTGTGTGTATTGTAAAGTCCCCATAAAATTGTTACAGGTCCTATCTCTCTAACTGGGTCTGGGTGATGTTCATACCAGTTTCTTGCAGTTTCCTTCCCATATAAGTTACATATTTTCCAGTGCAGATATTGGTCCACTCTATCATACCAAGTTTTATATATTCAGTGGGAGCTAACATCGTGTAACCTGATACAAGATGATCAATTGTCTCTGGATATTTATCACAGAATCTACATTTGGGGTCAACACAGTTTTTTAGTATGAGTGCTTGGTAATTTCTAGTTAGCAAGCATTGCTCCTGTGCAGCATGAATAAAACCTTCAGATTCAACATTTGACTTTGCACTATGTAACCACTGATGAGTATGAGATTTACCTAAATCAGCCTGTTTTATTTGGGCATGAAGAGGCTTATCTTGCCAACGTTTCTGCATTTAGTACATTGCATTTGCTTTGGCTTTCTTTTTTTAGGTTCTTTGATGCTACAGTATTATTAGTATTATTATTATCAGTAATACCTGCTTTATTTTCATGTTTCCAATGTGTACCTTATATCACTCTCTTGTTGGCAATCATACATTCTGTTTTCTTACAGTTAATAGTTAGTCCTTTCTTCTTGCCTTCTATTTTGTCTAAGAGGTCTTTCAGATTCCTTTCTGAGTCTACTATCAACACAGTGTCATCAGGTTATCTTGTGTTGTTAAAATTATGTACACAAGTAATAAATTTTGGTAGGTTTTCTTGTTCACTTAAGATATTTTTTATATACTGCTAGTTTATCCAGTGCAAGGCCTAAGGGCTACTCAAGGTAGAAAATTTTCTAATGTTTGCATTAATAATAATAGTAATAAAAATCAATTTAGCTAACTTATGATTATCTTTTCAATTTTTTAACTAATCTGGTACGAATTTAAGAAAATATAATTAAATAGATTATTGACTCATTTAGATAATTTATATAAATATTTATTTTTTGATTCCATTAAACTAATTTGTAATAATGTGAAATAACAGATGGCAACAATGCTTATTATGAATGCTATAAGTTTCCAAGTGAATTTTGATGATTCTTTCTATGAGTTTAAAAATAAAACATTATTAACAGAAATATTTCTTATATATGGCAGTTCTTAAAATTTGAATTAACAAAGATTAAATGTAGTTTTAAGAATTTTTGTGCAATTTTTTTTAATCATTTCAGCCCAAGCAAGGCAATAATGTCACTAAAACACAAGAGGTTACTGAGCGTGAAAGAAAATGAGATGCTAGCAAAGAGAAAGGATTATAAAAGAATTAGGAATCAGGAAGACAGAAGATGGCAATTGACATTGCATTTAAATTTATGAAGATCATAGGTGGCAGGGAAGCAAGAAACTGGAAGAGAGTTACACAGGCAAGAAGTGTGAGAAAAACTATACATCTAGTTATTTCAACAGTAAAATGGTGAAACCTTTGGTGCTAATCTATTCGTATGCTTAAGTTCATGCAGTTGAGGTACCAAGGAGGCAAGACTATCAGCACAAATACCATGAAAATATTTATAGAAAAGGCAGAGGGAAGCCACATCATAGGAGTGAGAAAGTGACAAACTGAGATGCCAGGTCAGAACTAATAACATTACGAATCCTTCTTTAGATTTTGTTGAGAATCATCTAAGCAGAAGCACTAAATCAGATAGAGCAGCAATATTCAATGCATGGATGTCTTTTATATATATATATATATATATATATATATATATATATATATATATATATATAAGAATTTGGTAAACCGAATTGGTAAATCCAAGGAGGATGAAATCCTGAGAGCTCAATGTGAAGAACAGAGCTAATATTTAATGAACAACAGACACTTTAAGGTACCATTACAATAATTTATTTCATCAAAATCATTTTTAAAGTGTCTGTTGTTATATATATATATATATATATATATATATATATATATATACACACACACAAAAAAAGCTGGTGAAAGTTAATTATGTGTTAACTATGTGAACTGTTTTGCTCTACTGATGTTAGGTGAAGTGACACAGACAAAATTTAGCCATATGTTGAATTTTGTTTGGTTTAGTTGCATAAGAACCCATACTTTTTAAATGCCGAAATCTAAAAATGAAAATTCAAAATAATTAATTCAAAAGAATGACATTATTTCATGATTAAATTATAATTACTTGGTTGCATTTTTTTAATCAAATAATCTTACAAAATCAAATGAGGCATGAAAACTTGTTTCTCATTACAAGAAATGAGATTAATCATGGCAAATTATTTTTTAAAATGTTTTGACAATGTACACCATGTTGTCAATTTTACTATAAAATATATTGTTGGTAATTTTACTATAAATATGTATTGTTGGTCATTTTCTATAAAAATGTAATTTTATACTTTCCTAGTGTTTTGATTTTTGCTTACTAATTTGCTCATATTTGGGACCCTAAGAAGTGCTAACCATGATAACATTCTAGGTGTAAGTGAAACCAGATGGCCAAACAATGGTGACTTTGTCAGTGACAAAAACACAGGATAATTTATGCAGGTGGTAAGAAGAACGACAAAGGAGTAGGACTAATACTAGATAGCAAATTTAGGAAATGTGTTCTAGGATGCCACCAACTTTCCGAAATAATTCTGGTAGTGAAGCTGAAAGGGAAGCCGTTCATCGTGGCTATTATAGTAGTGTACGCACCGATGACACAAAGCAAAGAGGAGGACATCGAATCTTTCTACTTCATGCTGGACAGTGGACAGTGCTAAGGCTCTATGCAAATCACATGAAATCATTATTATCATGGGAGACTTAAACATCAAAATAGGCAGGGAAAAGGTAGGGGATATAGCAGGAAGATTTGGATTAGGAACCCGCAACGAACGCAGAGAAAAATGGATCCAATGGTGCACAGCCAATGACCAGATAATAGCCAACACAAGGTTCCAAGATCACCTGAGATGACTATGGACATGGAGGAGTCCAAGAGGAGAAACTAAAAACCAAATTGATTATATAACCATCAACAAAAGATTCAGGAATGCAATGATTCACTGCAAAACCTACCCAAGCACCGACTACGGAAGTGATCATCTCCCTCTTACGTGTAAACTTAGAGTGAAACTATGGAAAATCAAGAAGCCTAAGACAGCACCCAAACTGCAATACAACTTCTGAGTGATCCTAACCTAAAAGAAAAGCATATGGACAATGTGAAGAGAAGATACAAGGCACATAATGGAAACTCAAAATAGGACACACTAAGAGATGCGTTAGTGACATCAGCAAATGATATCATCCCAAAGACAGGACGAAGAAGGAAAAATGAATGGATGACTGATGAGATTCTTGACATGATGAAAAGAAGACAGAAAACTTGGCCAAGATACAGAATGGAATACAGAAAATTACACAATGAAATAAGGACGAAATGCAGGCAAGCTAAAGAAGAATGGATTATCGAA